AGCTTGGACAAATTAGAGATGAGAGTTGAGAAATCTACCTTGAGCCCTACGAAATCCCTAACTAACCTAATGGATGAAGATGAAGCTTCAACCTTTGAAACCTCTCTCTTATTTCTCTCTCCTTCTATTCTCAAAATTTTTCTCTTCCTCTCTTCTTTGACAATGTGAGAGACACTCCTTCCCAATGTCATTATGGTTGGCAAAATATTTCAGATTCTTCGAACTATTGAGCAGAGCATCGCGGAGGCACCACCTAGCACCACAGCTCTCCTATAATTTTATTATGTATATATATAATGGATGGGAGAAACACAATGGAAGCTGGAAAAAATTGTCCTTCATGATATCCTACAATGTAAGATTAAAATTAATAATTACCACACTAAACTATTTCATAAACTTCTCTTATCATACTCTTATCTAAATAGTTTATATCTTTTATCTATAATACGTTGAGTTCAACTAATAATTTCATACTAATTCATCAATAAAAAGCTTATTATCTCTTCTTACATTTTCCTCCTAAAAAAAAAATAAAAATCTCTTCACATGGGTGGATTCCTTGGAAGTGTAATGCTGTAAAAATATGTTCTTGGCGTCTACCCCCCATCAAGTTTCTTTTTTGATGATTGATGCCACCCATTTGAAAAAAGTAATGATAATAATTGAGGACTGATGGCTATAGAGACGATGCAGAACAGATTTTATTCAATTTCCAAATCTTTATCGTCAGTGCAGACGTCACAGCTAGGGGAGCTGAAGCCATGATCATTAAATAAGGCCCACGGAGCTATCATATCCTTATCCCCCACCCTCAGTGCCTGATTATCCCTCAACCAATCTATTGTTAATTCCTCGGCAGCCGATCGACTGTTAAACAGCAACGTCGGTTATGGCTGATTACCGCCATCATGGCCAAGGACATCATTTTCTAATGGTGACAATCGCCATCCAAGGTCAGATCAATCCCGCCCGTCACCTTGCTCGCCGCCTCGCCCGAATAGCTGCAGCTCGTGTTACCCTCGCCACTCCTCTCTCCTCCCACCGCCGCCTATTTCCCGGATCCCTCGCAGCCGCCGGCGAGCCGGATGATGCAGCGGAGGAGGCACCTCTCAATCTCGACGGCTCCGGAGTTGTCGCCTACGCACCGTACTCTGACGGCTTTGATGATGGGATTCACATGGAAGCCGTCGACCCCGGTCACTTCATGGAAACACTCAAGTCTCATGGCCCTCGCACACTTGCCGCCCTGGTGCACAACCTCACCGTTGGGGGCCGCCCAGTGACTTGCTTGTTGCACACCATCTTACTTACTTGGGCCACCGACGTTGTGCGCGATCTTGGCATCCCTACTGTCCACTATTGGATCCAACCCGCTTCAGTGTTCGCCATCTACTACCACTACTTCCAAGGCCACAAATGCTTCCCTTCTGCCACGGACAAAGAGAAAGACTCATCTTACTCCGTAGAACTACCCGGGCTGCCACCTCTACGAATGAAGGACCTACCCTCTCTCATATCTATACCAAGCGCATACCTCTCCTCCCACAAGGAGATATTCATAGAACTCGCAAAGTATGAGAAGCCTAAAGTTTTGGTGAACACGTTCTACCAACTGGAAGCATCGGTGATAGATGAGACCACTGAGCTTGAATTAATCACAATTGGGCCAGTAGTGGACAAGAGATTCATTTATGCAACGGCAGGAAGCCGAGACCTATTCGAGGAGGACTCAGGCGATTACATGGAGTGGTTGGATGTACAAGAGGAACGATCAGTGGTGTATGTTGCTTTTGGCAGCTTAACACGACTGACGGGACGACAAATCGAGGAGCTGGATCTGGGGTTGAAGGAGAGCGGACGACCGTATTTGTGGGTGTTGAGGAAGGACAGCAGACCAGAAG